ATTTAACAACATTAGGTGTAACACACAACCCTAATGTACAAAACTGATAAGAAAAAAACTAAGAAACATAGTTATTTCAACAAAAAAACATCAAATTTTAAATGTAACGCAGGGAATTCTGGGAATGTCAATTTACGGTTATTCGCTGTAAATTATACTGTCTTTTTCACTTCCAAAAAACGGTATACTACCGTAAAATTAATGTCCAATACATGTAATGTCCAATACAGTTTTTCACCGTATATAGTAGGGGAATTTACCGTTAACCATTTAACAGGATTTTACTGTAGCATTTTTACAGTCTTTTACCGTTAAATTCACGGTCATTTTTTACAATGTAGTATGTGATGTTCTATCTGAGCTCTTGTTTTGTTAACCAGGATGTATTTGGTTTGGTCTCTTTAGCTGCCAGTACAGCCGTCTGGTCCAGAAACGGTCAGGGAGCCTCGTCCCCGAGTTACGAGCCGCCGCTGCACTCGCTGGTGAGAGATACAGACACAGAAATACACCCAGATCTAACTCTGCTCCTGTCAGTTCTGGCTTCACATTCACCATGATGACCAAAGTTATGCGGTGTTTATCATGTTAACACTGTAGAAGGAAAATTAGCATCAGTTTAATCAAAACAAAATGACAGAAAGACTCTGAAGCTTCTTAAACATATTCATTTGTTATCGGTTTTTATTTTTATTTAATTTTTTCATTTTATTTATACAGCAGTTTTAACCCTGTAAAGCCTGACATACAGTATAAAATAACAGTCATAAAAATCTAGTAAATCTTTAAAATAGAACAGTTTATTGAAACTTTGGACAATAATGTTAATATTTTTTAATATTTTGACATTTTGATAAAAAATTCTGAAACATATGCACAGATGAATCGTTCACAATACGCTCTACAACATGCATTTAGAATATAGTGTGGATTTCATGACATCTTGAATTCTGTGATTGTTTGTAAGCCGCCCCAAAAACACCCCATATCCTGCAGCTTTACCGACCATCTGCCTGATACATGGCATCAGGGGGTTCTTGAGCTTGAGAGGAGGGTGAAGGGGGAAATCCTGAAATAAATGAATGTTGGGATTAATTTCCCATGATCTCTGGTGCACATGCTGGTCATTGTTATGAATCTTGGATTACTGTTCGTTTATTAATGACCCAGAGCAGATGATTAGTGGGACAGGGGTGCAGCAGACCCTCTGTGCTTGCTGTTGAATGGTTAATTGTTAGTGTCTTATAACAAGTCATTGCATCACCATGACAAAGGCTTCTGTTTACATTATGCTATGGAGCGTCTCCATTGGTTTTAAGTGCCGGTTTTGCCAGCATTGGTGTCCTGCACAAATAAAGGTTCTTTATTGACGTTAATGGTTCTCTGAAGAACTGATCACTGAAAGGTTCTTTGTGGAGCCAAAAATTGTTCTTCTATGGCATCACTGCAAAAACACCTTTTTGGAGCCTTTATTTTTAAGAGTGTGATGTAAATCAGTGAGATCTTTATAACAGCGCAGCAGATTCTGACACAAAATGTGAAGATGTGAGATGTTCTGGAGGCTTGTGAAGATCATTCCTCCGCTGAGGAACAGTGAAAGTAAAGCTTCTGGAAACAAACGCTCCTCAAAAGATCCTGAGGATCAGATTTGAGACTCTAAAACATGATTGATGGAGAATCAAGTAAAGCTGAGCTGCTTCAGTCCAGTAAGTGTTCATCTGGAGATATTACTGCAGTTATTCTGACGCTTACGTGATAAAAACCAGTCAAGATTTGACACGAGAAGCTCCAGCTGAAGCTGGACGCTTGTACAATTACACTAAAAGAGCTTTGACTGGATAAAACACTCTATCAATCAGAGACAGAAGACATATACATATATATATATATATATATTGTGTGTCTCGTCCTGCAGCAGAGTCGTATCGAGGACAGGCTGGAGCGTCTGGACGATGCGATCCACGTGTTGCGCAGTCATGCGGTCGGTCCGTCCACAGCGATGCCCGGCGCTCACGCAGACATGCATGTCATGGTAAGAACCGCTGACCTCTGACCTCTCGCTGTCTGGAGCCACTTCCTGTGGAAAGATGCTGTGAGACATCTCTCTGTGTCTCTTCTTATGCAGTCATCAGCCTGTTTGGATCCACCTACCAAAGATATTATAGTTAACTAAATTAAAACTAAAACCACTGAAGAGTTACTTTAAATAAAATAAATGTTAACTGAAATAAATAAATATATATACAGTATATATATATATATATAAGAAAATTTATTTTATTTCAGCTAGTTGCCAAGGCATCATGTTATTTGGTTTAATAAATAATACAAATAAATAAATAAATAAAAATTACTAAAAACTCTGTAGACATTTTTAAAAATGACAAAAACACACAACAAAATTATTAAAACTTTAACTAAAATAAAAGTGAAAATAAATAAATAAAATCTAATTAAAATATTAACAAAAACTATAATAGAATATCAGTGAGACTAAAATAACTCTGTAACGAGCACCTTTTATAAAATGTTATACAAACCTTAATTAATCACAATCATTTGCTAATTTTATGCTTGTTTAATAGTAAAAACATTGAAATTATGTTATGGTAATAAAAAACATTAAAAGAAATTTGTTACTTGAAATAAAAAGTTAACTGGAATAAAATAAAATAAAAATCTTTTTTGCTAAGACAACATTTCTTGTTTTCAGTTTAAATAAAGAATAATGAAAAATAATTTATAAAAACTATAGAGACATGTTTAAAAAAAAACTGATAAAAATGACAAAAAACAACTAAATTATTAAAACTTTAATTAAAATGAAAGTGAAAATAGCAAATAAATCTACTATACATTTATATTTCAGCTAGTTGCTAAGGCAACATTTCTCATTTTCAGTTAAATAAAAATGTATAAAAAAAAGAAATTTAATAAAAATTATATAGACATATTTTAAAAAATAATAAAAATAAAAGACAAAAATACTCAACAAATTTACTAAAACTTTAACTAAAATTAAAGTGAAAACAGAAAATATAAAAATAAATCTAATATACATATATATATTTCAGCTAGTTGCTAAGGCAACATTTCTCTTTATCAGTTAAATAAAAATTATAAAAAACTGTATAGACTAAAATAAAAATAAAAAAATAAAAATGAAAAAAACAACAAAATTGCTACAACTTTAAGATTATAGTAAAAACAGAAAATGTAAAATCTAAATTAAAATACTAACAAAAACTATACTATTTTATATTATAAAACCACCTACTGGTCAAAAGTTTAAGACTATTGCACTTGTGATAAAAATCGTCATGCTTAATGCGGTGCGCATGACGTCACTGGTGCGGTCCTGTAATGTCTAAGTGTTACGAAGTCAGGCTGGAGCAAAGAATTGTGGGTAGCGATGTTGGCTCTCCTCTGTTAGGTTATAAGCAGCACTGAACTAAATACAGGAAATAACAGAGAGAGGGGGAGGACAAGACTTCAAAAGAAAGCTGCTGGTAATATGTTCCATATTTAAGGCTTTTTTAAGACTTGAACCAATCCATAAAGCTTCAAACAGCTGGAGAGAATAAAGAACGGAAAGAGAATACATGAAGAAAAGAAGATATAATGCTCGTCCTACACACACACACACACACACAAACACATTATTGCATGCACATTTATACATAAACCGTTTCTGATGTCTCATATCTTTTTATGTAGTCGTCAGAACATGAATTTCACATGAACTATTGAAAATGAATGTTTCGCACATGCACACGCATGTTTCCTTAAGAAAATGCAAAAGTTAAAGTGCTAAATGTTTTTGAACTGTAGTTATAAACTGGCTCTCAAAAGAGTAAATATTCAGACTGGTGTGTTTCTGATGAAGAAGTGCTCTTTGTAAGGTCGTGTATGGTCCGTGTGTGCATATTTCCAGTGTTAACGAGCTGGTTTTAATGACATCAATGAATAAAGGCAGGCGTGGGTTTGTTCAAGCGTTTGATTGGACGAGGTCCTGAATCTCTGCTCAATGTCTCACCGACGCAGCTGTTTATTTATTCACTTTCACCTGTGTGTGTGTGTGTGTGTGTGAGATAGTGAATGAGTTTGTGTGTGTG